GACACACTGTACCATGTAGTAGTGATATACTGTACCATGTAGTGGTGACACACTGTACCATGTAGTGGTGACACATTGTACCATGTAGTGGTGACACACTGTAACATGTAGTGGTGACACACTGTAACATGTAGTGGTGACACACTGTACCATGTAGTAAGTAAGTAAAGTAAAGAGAAGACGAGCAAAGAGAAAGATCAAGACAGGAAAGGGTGGGAGTCCGGAAGTCCAAATGCATGGGCTCACCAGAATTCAGAAGAGACAGGAAAACAGAGAAGATAAACGGCTCAAGATGGCGACCTCGGGTGTTCGTCAGAACATCACTCCAAAGGAAATGACGACAATTGAAATCACCCAGCAGGAGCACAGGCTCCGGCAAGGAGTCCAGTAGGTGTTTCAGATCAGGAAGAGAGAGCGGGACACTCGGGGGGAGATGAATGGAACAAACAGTGTACCATTTCCCCACAAAGATACAAGCAGCAGAACAATGGAGAGGCGAAGGAAAAAGTATGGGGACAAAGGGAACATCAGAGCGAATCAAGAGAGCAGATAAGTTAGGAGCCCCAGAAACAGCTGGGGGGGGGGGGGGGGGGAGAGAAAGGAATAGCCACGAAAGCGACCAGGACGACCACCAAGAATCGGCTCCTGGAGACAGACACAAAGGGGCGAAAATCGCGAAATCAGAAGTTGGAGTTCAACGAAATTGGCGTAATAACCCCGAACGTTCCATTGAAGAATAGACATCGACGAGAAGAGAAAGGACAACAACAGAGAACAAGGAAGAAATAAAGGCGAAAGAGCAACATAGCATGTTAAAGAAGATCAGGGTCAGCAAAGTCAGGGTTACGGGGCATGGGTAAACTGAGCAAAGACGGAGGGAAGGAAGCGGGAGAACAGACCAGAGGTGGGCGGGCGGGGTCTGGAGGAGGAGGAAGAGGAGACAACGGAGAGGAGCAGTCAAGGACAGCAGCAGGAAGAGGGGGAGTAGAAAGAGGGGAGCGCACCTCAGCAAGGGCAGCAACCGTGAGGGAAGCGGGGGCCAAAGAAACCTCCATAGCAGGAACAGGGGGCGCAACCACTGAAATGGGAGGGGAAGGAGCAATAGAGCCAGTAGTAGGGGCCGAGGAAGAAAATGAAGCCTTCTTACCGGCCGGGGAGGAGGAAGGAGAGGAGCCAGGCTTACGCTTCTGACTTTAAGAGACAAGTGTCCCAGCAACTATGTACTGGGCAACGGATTCCAGCGTCTCAACAGGAGAAGCTGAACGAGAGCACACACGACGGCCGTTAGGAGAGCGATGGACATCCGCCTGCACCGACAGGCGGCGGGGAGAGTCAATAGACGGAGGAGAAGGATGGGAAGGAGGATCGGAGGGAGACGAGGAAGAAGACACAGGAGACACGACAGACCGGGTAGAAGGAAGGGGGAACCCCAGACAGAGGACCAGGAGGGGGACCCTTCGGGACAGAACTCAAAGGAACAGAGGAGGGGGCAGTGGGCGCATCAGGGTCCAAGGCCCGGAAACGGTTGTGAGTCTGAGGAAGGCGGGATGGACGAGGAGAGGAAGAGCGTAACACGCGAGCATAAGAGACGTTAGCATAAGGCGGGAGCCGGCGAACCTGGCGCCTCGCCTCAGGAAAAGACAGACGCTCCCGGTGCTTCAAGTTGAGGACGGCTGCCTCAAGCTTGTAATGGACACACGCACGGGAGAAGGTAGGATGGGCCTCACCGCAGTTGAGGCAACGAGCCTGGGGAGAAGTGCACTCCGACTTAGAGTGACCTTCGCCCCCACACAAAGGACAGAGAGAGACAGTCCCAGAGCAGTGGAGGGCACCATGCCCAAACCTCCAGCACTTGTTATAGAGCCGAGGAGAAGGAATGTACTCCTGGACAGAGCACCTGGCACCAGCAAGAATGACAGAGGGTGGAAGGGTCCTACCATCAAAGGTAATCTTCACAACCCGAAGGGGTTGACGGCGACGACCGCGAAGGGGGACGAGTAAACGTGTCCACCTGGAGGACAGAATGGCCTTGGGCATCAAGGATATGCCGAATATCATCGTGGCAGTCCTGCAGATTCCGAACACTGGTCGCAACATGGGGCAGGAGGAGAATAGTGCCAACACTGGCATTCAACCGAGCGTTCTTTGAGACCCGAACAGGGATCTCGCCAAGGCAGGATAAGGCAGCCAAGCGGGAAGCTACATCCTGAGAAGGAGCAGCAACGACACGTGTACCGAGACGAGTGGGATTGAAGGTAACAGACGCATCCACAGAATCAACAAGATGCCGATGGAGGGAGAAATCGTCAGGAGGCGCAGAATCAAGAGGGAGGAGATCAAAATATTTGGCCCATGAAGCGGGACCAAACAAGGCCTGATATGCATCAGTATCACAGCGTCAACGGGCTGAACAGGGAGGGGAGGTGTTGTGGTGAAACACCGTACAATGCAGTGGTGACACATTGTATCATATATTGGAAACATGCTGTACCATGTAGAGGTGACACACCGTACCATGTTGAGGTGACACACTGTGTTATCTAGTAGTGACACTATTTCATGTATTGGTGACACACTGTACCATATAGGGGTGACACTGTACCATGTAGTGGTGTCACACTGTACCATGTAGTGGTGACACAATGTACCATGTATTGGTGACACACTGTATTATGTTGTAGTTGCACACTCTGCTATGTAGTGGTGACACACTGTACCATGTAGTGGAGACACACTGTAACATGTAGAGGTGACACACTGTACCACGTAGGGGTGACACTGAACCATGTAGTGGAGACTCACTGTACCATGTACTAGTGACACTGTACAATGTAGTGGAGACACACTGTATTATGTTAGTAGTGACACACTGTACCATGAAGTGGTGACACACTGAGCCCTTTATTGGTGAACCAATATCATATAGTGGAAACACTGTAACATGTAGAGGTGACACACTGTACCATGTATTGGTTACGCACTCTACCATGTAGTGGCGACACACTGCACCATGAAGTAGTGACACTGTACCATGTATTGGTTACACACTCTACCATGTAGTGGCGACACACTGCACCATGAAGTAGTGGCACTGTACCATGTAGTGGAGACACTGTACCGTGTAGTAGTGACACACTGTATTATATAGTAGTGACACACTGTACCATGTAGTGGTGACACACTGTACAATGTAGTAGTAACACACTGTACCATGTAGTGGTGACACACTGTACCATGGAGACACGCTGTACCATATAGAGGTAACACACTATACCATGTAGTGGTGACATACTGTATCATATAGTGGCGACAAACTGTACCATGTTCTCATGGCTCTGGAGTCCTTTAATCCAGTCCATCCGGTGGTAGTCGAGATTCAACATTGGCTGTTTCTTATCTGAAATAAATTTATGACTAGAGTTTTGCTGGGTTCCCAGCCATATTGGTGTCTCTTCAAACTATACCATGTAGTGGTGAAACACTGTACCATATAGTGGAGAAACACTGTTCCATGTAGTGGTGAAACACTGTACCATATAGTGGAGAAACACTGTTCCATGTAGTGGTGAAACACTGTACCATATAGTGGTGAAACACTGTTCCATGTAGTGGTGAAACACTGTACCATATAGTGGAGAAACACTGTTCCATGTAGTGGTGAAACACTGTACCATATAGTGAAGAAACACTGTTCCATGTAGTGGTGAAACACTGTACCATATAGTGGAGAAACACTGTTCCATGTAGTGGTGAAACACTGTACCATATAGTGGAGAAACACTGTTCCATGTAGTGGTGAAACACTGTACCATGTTGGGCTGACACACTGTTTCGTATAGTGATGGTTCGTATTGGTGAACCAATGTACCATGCAGTTGTGAAACCCTGTACCATGAAGTGGTGAAACACTGTACCATGTAGCGGTGAAACACTGTACCATGTAGTGGATAAACACTTTACTATGCAGTGGTGAAACACTGTACCATGTAGTGGTGACAAACTATATCATTCAGTGGCGACATTGTACCATGTAGTGGTGACACATTGTATCATGTAGTTGATACACACTGTACCATGTAGTAGTGACACACTATACCATGTAGTGGTTACACTCTGTAATATGTAGTGGCAGTGACACACTGTATCTGTAGTTACAATACACTGAATCATGTAGTTCATACACATTGTTCCATGAAATGGCGACACACTGTACCATGCAGTGGCGACACCCTTGCACCATGTAGTGGTGAGACCCTGTATCACACAGTGGTGAACCACTGTACCATGCAGTGGTGAAATACTATACTACGCAGTGGTGACACGTGTGCTGGCAATATATCACAATGATTCACTTTGTTTATCTTTTCAAATTTTAAGAAAAATGTGGATGCTATATGGGTCCACAGTTTTCATGTGTGTACTGTAGTGGGTCCGATACCTATCCTTTGGACTGTGGTGCAAGCAATACCCATCTTTTATTATTATTATTATTTTCTACCACAGAAGTGGCCACACATTTACAAGGCTAACAAACATATAAATTTTCGTCTGTCTTCCATGGACAAGATGAGAGATCTGTAAAAATGTAGTTCAGGGATTTATTAAACAATCAACCACAGAAAGTGATTGTGGTGCTTTTAAAATGCTAATCTAAGCCCATACCCATCCTGTGGGTTGTGGTGGACCCCATATGGGTCCACAGCTTTCATTTTATGGGCTGTGGTGAACTCCACTTTTATTTTATTTGCTGTATTGGTTCTCATATTTAGTCAAGGGCCTGTGGAGGACCCCACTGTCCGTCATTGGTCTGTGGAGGACCCCACATTCAATCTGTGGGCTGTGGCGGACCCCACACTAATTTGATGGGATGTGGTTGACTCCAAAGCCCCCCATTCATAACGCCAACAACAAACCTCATTCATTACAAACTAACAAAAATTTTCTCCCCCCCCCCCCTTTACTACACATTAACGACAACCCACATCCAATACCAACGACAGGAAGCCCCCAGACATCAACTACAAACTTTACAGATTTACCCATCCTGCGCCCCGCCCCCTTCCAAGATCATCAGATAGCGAGATTCCTGTAAGACACGACCAGTCCCACGCCAGCCTTGGTAGCAGAATGCTGCTCGTAGCCGAGCTCAGCGGTGCCTAGCGAAGCCTCAGCCTGGCCTAAGGCTAACCCTACCATACCTATACTCTTACAGGAGTCAGGGTTACACTGAAGGATCCTGCGAGTCTCCTACTACTATGACTCCGGGAACAACAACGTCAGCGACGACCACCTGCAGGCAGACGCTCAGGTGGGAATGTTCCTCTAGCTTATTCTGACAACTGAAATACCCCCATGTATACCCAGCGTGGACCGTAGTGGCAACACACTGTATCATGTAGTGGAAACAGAAACACTGTACCATGTAGTGGGACACATTTTACCATGCAGTGGCGACTTACTGCACCATGTTGTGTTGACGCACTGTACCATGTAGTAGTGACACACTGAGCCATATAGTAGTGACACACTGTACCATGTAGTGACGAAACACTGTACCATGTAGTGACGAAATACTGTACCATGTAGTGATGACACACTTTATCATGTAGTGGTGACACACTGTACCATGTAGTGGTGACACACTGTATCATGCAGTGGCGGCAAACTATATTATGTGGATGTGACACACTGTACCATGTAGTTGTGACACACTGTGCCATATGGTTGTAATACACTGTACATATAGTTAACTTATTTTTAATTTTGCCCCGAGAGGCAAGTTTATGGAGCAACGGCACTTATCCTGTGAGTTGACATACCGCTATAGCAGCATGTAGAACACTCCCCAATAGGAAGAAAACCCGCTGGGTTGTTCATCCTGTCACTTGTACCCAGACACAGCTGGGACTTGCTTAACTGTCTCAAGTGAACAGCTTCTCAAACAAGAAGATTAACATTTGTCAACCCTTAAAATCTTACGTTATGTTTCGGATGAAAAATGGGTAAATCTTTTAAGAACAGTATGTGTATCTGACAAATAGTATTTTCCTAACTAAAACAAATTGGGGTTTATTATTCTACACATATTTCTAATGACTCGTAGATATTCATATTCTCTCAGATGGTGGTCAAGGCGGTGTCCGTCACTCATCCCAGATTCTGCAACTCCGCCACTCAACTGTTATTTCCATTCTGAATATCCATGGATATTTGTATCCAAGACGGATTTCTGTTACTATTAATTCTCTCCCGCGGCCACCTCCTCTTCGTCCATAATGATTAGGATTATTGCTGCAACCATATTGTACTAGCATACAAATTTCCTGATTTGTTATTCTATCCTCCTTTCCGCAGTTTCCTTGAAACGGTGATATTACCTGATTACACTCCTCCTTTCCGCAGTTTCATTGAAACGGTGATATTACCTGATTACACCTCTAATTTATAGACGAGTCTTGGGTATGAAGTATTCAATATGGTCTCCTTCAGCGCCTTCAGCAGCCAGCACATCTGCTCGTTCATTCCCACATATTCCAACATGGGAGGGGATCCACAGAAACTTGACGACTCTTCCCTGGTTGGTTAGTACCCTCTAAGCTCTCTTGATTTCTGTGACTATCGCAAGATTTTCTGCCCGATTTTTAATAAGGGTTTGTAACCCTCTAATAAGAGTTTGATTTGCTCTGATTTCAAAAGCAGCCTTATTTTTAATAAGGCTGCTTTTGAATCAGTGCAGATCACTGCACCATTAGTGTTTCGTTCAAGGAATATTAACATCTTAGCAACGGAATTTAACTCTGCTTGCGTTGAAGAGGTATAGTTCTCAATACGTGCTTTTTCTTCATTTCCGCGTTGAAAGGCGTTATTTTTAATTACAGGGTATGCTGCACCAGCTTTGCCATTGACAGGATTAGATGACCCATCAGTGTAAATTTGATCTAATTAGTTTCCGGCTTCTTTATAAATTTCTTCAAGATGCTTCTGCCTCATTTCTTGTGGTATTATGTTGGACTTTTTCATTGTCATCTCACTGATTAATCATGCATGGGTCATCCTCTTAGGGAGGTAACCTCTCTACAGGCATGAGCTCACGGTCTTGCTCAAGCAGGTGAAGTTCTTCGAGGTAACAGACTGATCTTTGCTTTCATTTCTTGCTTCTCTTATTTCGTCCTGTAAGTAGCACAGGACTCACGTTTTTCTGGACAATATCATTGCAATGGGGATCACTGGTTATCTTAATTGCAAGCTTAGCATTCAATTCCTTAATTCTGCTTTTAACACTGAGGAGGGACAACTTCTCTCGTAGAATAGATGTTTTGGCAGTTTTTGGAACTCCAAGAATGATTGTCATGGCTTTATTTTGTATGCTTTCAAGTTTTTTCATATCGCTTTGGGAATAAATGCACGAAATTGATGAGCCTCAGTCTACGACGGAGCTCACAGTGGCTGTGTACATCATTTTAAGCACGGCAATAGAGCTCCCATTCCCAGTTTAGGTAATAGCGTTCAGTGCCTTGAGTCGACTTTTGCATGTTCCTGTGAGTTGGTTGAGCTCCTCTTTATTCCCCTTGTTTGAGACGCCAATGACGCCAAGGTACCGATAGTGGTCAACTCATTCAAGCATTACACCATAAATTTGTAGGTCTTCATTTTCTCACCTCTTGTGATAAGTGAATGCTTTTGTCTTGTTTGTGGAGAGGCTGAAATCGAGTTCAACATATTTCTTTCAAATGAGTATTTTCCTTATAACAGTATAATGAACTGTTTAATTTTTCCCAAGGTGGGAGCTTGTATTAGGACATCATCTGCATATCCCACTTGTTGTGTTCCTTCCGGAAATTCAAAATTTGCAATTGCGTTCATAAGTATGTTGAATAGTGCCGGGCTTAAGGCCCCTCCTTGGGGGTCCCGAGTTCCATACTCATTGTTCTCCAGATTGCTCCGTTGAAGCAGACTTTGGCTTTCGTCCCTCCCTGAGAGGTAGTCTTCAGTCAATTTCATGAGTCTCCCTTTGAGAGACTCTCCCCTTGGGGAGCCTACATGGAAGCTCGTCCAGGATCGCAATCCCCTGCGCTTTATCGAAGGCTTCTTTAATGTCAACAAATACAGAGTACTTAGCTGTGTCATTAGCCAAGTAATTAACTATACAATTTGCGGTGCTTCGTCCTTTAGCAGTTCCATTGAACCCCCCCCCCCGCCCCTCCCCTAGCATCTCTATTTTGTGCAACAGTCGGTTTAGAATGATCGTTTCAACCATCTTGTATGTGTATGCCACGAGACTGATAGGTTTGTAATGATCTGGTGGTGTGTGAAGATTACATGTTCCTTGATAGAGCCCTATTGTTTGTGCATTTTTAATCGACTTGAAAGAGACGTTGTTGTCTTGCCTATATACTGTGATCGTTGGGGCTGACAGTCATAAGGAAGTTTGCGGTCTTCTTGATTTTGTAGTAAATTGTTAATTGCATCTTCTGATTGGTGTCTGTGGGGTTAACGTTCCTTTCAATAATATCTTTCAGGACTCTTTCCTCCGTTTCATAGGCTGTGGAAAAGAAGTCCCTGTAAAGCAATCTAATAGGAGATACGGGTGTTGTGTTGGTCGTTTCTTCAGAGGTTGCATGGCGCTTCATCTTTCTTTAAATGACGTCTTCAACATAACCGTTAGAGAAGCCATTATTGACTAGGATCTCCCTCACTCTACAGCGTTCCTAGTCGACCTGCTTCCAATCAGAACTGTGAGTTAGAACTCGGTAAACGTAGGTGTTGACAACACTCCGCTTGTACTTGTCCGGACACTCACTATTAACATAACCGTTTGAGAAGCCATTATTGACTAGGATCTGCCTCACCCTACAGAGTTCCTCGTCGACCTGATTCCAAACATAGTTGAGCTATCACCTGCCAGCATAGTTGAGACAGTTGATAGTTTTTTTTTTTTTTTTTTTATTTTTATTTTTACATGCAAGCATGCGTATAACGTACAAGAAAAACAGAACAAATATAACATAGAACAAAAGTACAAAGCACACATATGTACAAGGACAAAGGAACAAATCAATAGAAGACCAGCCAGAAGGGCTGACCACAAAAAAATGCATATACAAACAATGCACAATTAGTAACACAGTGTAATACAAACATAAGGGAAAACCCCAGGACAAAATGCACACAAAACAAGCCTGCTAACACCTCAAATACATACAGAGAGGCGAGAAACATACAAGAATAAGGACAATAACAATAAAGAAAACAGATCCGCCATAACAAACGGAAGGCAAAACATAAAGAGCACACGCCAACAGCCTGAAGGGCACACAATATGACAAACAAGTGCACACGACATCCACAACCGAACACACTAACGCATAGGAACCGCACACCCCCCCACGAGCCATACAAAAAAACCCACAAAACAAACCGGAGCACGCAGGAACCGGGAAACAATACCCACCCCACCCACTCACATACACACCCCACAACCAGGCAACACAAAATACATAGAAATCACTTGCGAGGAACCTCGTGAGAAATGTACTTCTCCGGGAACTGCTCACGAGGATATTTCGACCTGTAAGCTTCCCAGACGAGATCATCAAGGTCGGTAGGGTTTTTGATCCCCCGCACTCGGGCGGGTATCATAAACTCGGGAACATCTATATCTGGCGGCATCGGCCAATGCCTAAGGTCACTGACGCAAGTAGCATAACGAGGCTGGGGAGCGCCAACCACGCCCTTCGAGGAAGCAGATGACACCGGAGAAGCGGACGAGGGACGCCGAGCCTGCCACGCCTTCGCCATCGGAGCAGGTGTCGGACGCTGAGACGACAGCACTTCCACGGATACCGCAGGAGACACGGAAGGGACTGCAGGAAACGGAAGAGGCGGCAAGACCGCTGCCGAGGAAACGGGTAACGAGGAAGGGGCCACAGAACATCCAGAGCGAGCATCCTTTCTCAACATCACCACCAGGCCACCCCGCTCACCACCAACTACAGCAGGGGGAACCACCGCCCACGAAGAACCGGAGCCATCCGACGCAGGACCCTCGGACACCGGACCAGAGGTTGAGGCCGAAACGCCGGCACCGGCATCCTCAGGCAAGTGTACCTCCGCCACCACCGTAGTGTGCACCACATCCGGAGCCACGCCACCGTCAACGGAAGGACGACACTCGTCGAATTCGCCAACATCAGCCCACACAGAAGAACGCCGGGAACGCTTAGGCTCGGGCCGCACATCATCAGACCCGGAGGCAGACTCAGCGACCCGCGCAGCACCAACCGAGCGAACCGACGCACGCCGCAGCACGGCAGCCTCCTCAACCACACGGGGCACCAGGCCAGGCACAGGAGGGAATTCCGGATCCACCTCAGCTCCCAGCACAGCCGGGACAGACGGCGAGGGTGCAGGGACCGGGACAGACACAGCAGAGGAAGAACTGGAAGACGAGGGGACCGAGCAAACGGCAGGCGGAAGAGGCTCAGGGACACCAGCTGGAGCACTAGGCGAGGACACAACCTCCGGAGGAGATGCGGCAACAACAGGGGGCGCAACAGGCGGAGCAACAGATGCTACAGAGGGCACCTCCTCAGCCGAAGAGACGTCCATACCCACCGAATCATCCCCCACAGGAAGGGGCGGAAAATCCTCCTCACTGAAGAGGTTCACTGGTGCAACAGGAGGCGCAGAACAGTCAGCAGCCTGATGGCCCAAAAGACCACAACGATAACACGTCCGCGGCTGACGGGCGTAAAACACCCGAACGTTGAACCCCATAAGGCGCACAGAGGACGGAATATCCGCCCGGAGTCTCATGCCCAGGGTGCGAATGTTAGTCCTCACACCCTTAAGAGGACTAGAAGACACCACGTTCACTCTCACACTAACAACTGCGCCAAACCGCCCGAAATACCGCCGTAGCAGAGCCTCTGGAAACTCCAAGGGAGCCCCATGCACACTGATGTAAGTAAGTGCACCACTTCTATCCGAGAGGGTGACAGTGCCCGCACCATCCGGCAGGGGCAGTGTCCGCCCCTCGTATCGCCGGAGAAAATCGCGATACGCCGCCTCCTCTGCAAACTTCACAATGGCCCTACGGGCCGTTACCAACTCTACCCCATAAATCGCAAACACAGGGACAGAGAGCAGTTCACAAGCCAGGGCAATCTCCGGGTAACCAGCCCGCACAGAGAACTCTAGTCCCACAGACTGAGCCCGGACGACTGGGGGTAGAGGGACCCCCATCGTAACGCCACGTCAGCACAGGCGAGCAGACACACCCGCCCCCAACCGGCCGAAACGGGCAAACAACACCAAACTGCTGGAGCGCCGATTCAACACGTCTGCCCCGCACCGAAGCTAGGGCCAGACTCCCAAGGCAGTTGATAGTGGTAACTATTGTGATGTTGTGTACCTTGATTTTAGCAAAGCTTAAGTCAGAATGGGATAATGTTGTTAGTGGAATCCCTCAAGGCTCTGTCCTGGGACCTCTGTTGTACATAATACATATAAATTATTTAGATTCAGGTTTGAGTAGCAACATTTGCAAATTTGCCGATGATACAAGAATCGGTAGGAAAATTAACACGGAAGAAGACTCACTATCACTTCAAGTTGATCTAAATAGGGTTTTGAAATGGTCAAAAGATTGGTAGATGCAGTTTAATGCTGATAAATGTAAAGTTTTGAGGCTAGGTAATGATGATAGAGTTTCAAGATACGAGTTAGATGGTGGTGAGATTGCGAAGTTGGATTGCAAAAGGGATCTGGGAGTTATGATTAGTAAGAATTTAAAACCAAAGGATCAATGCATAAATGTTCGTAATAAGGCCAATAGGACACTGGGATTTATTAATCGAACCATTAGTAATAAGACACCTGGTGTTATTCTTCAGCTATATCTTGCTCTGGTTAGGCCCCATTTAGATTATGCAGTTCAGTTTTGGTCGCCGTGCTATAGAATGGATATAAATTCACTTGAACGTATCCAACGTAGGATGACAAAGTTAATTCCGCAAATTAGAAATCTTTTATGCGAAGAAAGTTTAACAAAGCTTAAATTGCATTCACTGGAAAGGCAAAGAGTTGGGTTTGATATGACATGATAAAGGTTTATAAGTGGATGAATGGACATAACAAAGGGGATATTAATAGGGTATTAAAAGTATCAACACAAGACAGAACACGAAACAATGGGAATAAATTGGATAAGTTTAGATTTAGGAAAGACTTGGGTAAATACTGGTTCGGAAACAGGGTTGTTGATTTGTGGAACCAATTACCGCATAACGTGGTGGAGGTGGGGTCCCTCGATTGTTTCAAGCATGGTTGGACATGTATATGAGTGGGATTGGGTGGTCATAAACAGGGACTGCCTCGTATGGGCCAATAGGCCTTCTGCAGTTACCTTTGTTCTTTTGTTCTTATGTCCTTTGTTCTTTTGTTCTTATGTTCTAAACAGAGCTGTGAGTTTGAGCTCAGGTCAATGAAGACGTTGACAACACTCCGCTTATACCTGGCCGAGCAGTCACTATTACATAAGAACATAAGAACAAAGGTAACTGCAGAAGGCCTATTGGCCCATACGAGGCAGCTCCTATTCTATAACCACCCAATCCCACTCATATACTTGTCCAACCCGTGCTTGAAACAATCGAGGGACCCCACCTCCACAATGTTACGCGGCAATTGGTTCCACAAATCAACAACCCTGTTACTGAACCAGTATTTACCCAAGTCTTTCCTAAATCTAAACTTATCCAATTTATATCCATTGTTTCGTGTTCTGTCCTGTGTTGATACTTTTAATACCCTATTAATATCCCCCCGGTTATGTCCATTCATCCACTTGTAAACCTCTATCATGTCACCCCTAACTCTTCGCCTTTCCAGTGAATGCAACTTAAGCTTTGTTAATCTTTCTTCATATGAAAGATTTCTAATTTGGGGAATTAACTTAGTCATCCTACGCTGGACACGTTCAAGTGAATTTATATCCATTCTATAATATGGCGACCAAAACTGAACTGCATAATCTAAATGGGGCCTAACTAGAGCAAGATATAGCTTGAGAACCACACCAGGTGTCTTGTTACTAACGCTGCGATTAATAAATCCAAGTGTCCGATTTGCCTTATTACGAACATTTATGCATTGATCCTTTTGTTTTAAATTCTTACTAATCATAACTCCCAGATCCCTTTCGCAATCCGACTTCGCAATCACAACACCATCTAGCTCGTATCTTGTAACTCTATCATCATTACCTAACCTCAGAACTTTACATTTATCAGCATTAAACTGCATCTGCCAATCCTTTGACCATTTCAAAACCCTATCTAGATCAACTTGAAGTGATAGTGAGTCCTCCTCCGAATTAATTTCCCTACCGATTTTCGTATCATCGGCAAATTTGCAAATGTTGCTACTCAAACCTGAATCTAAATCATTTATATATATTATAAACAACAGAGGTCCCAGGACAGAGCCTTGAGGCACTCCACTTACAACATTTTCCCACTCTGACTTGATTCCATTTATACTAACTCTCTGTTTCCTTTGGTATAGCCATGCCCTAATCCAGCTTAATATAGCACCCCCAATACCATGAGACTCTATTTTTTTAATCAGTCTTTCATGTGGCACTGTATCAAAAGCTTTGCTAAAGTCAAGGTATACAACATCGCAATCCTTACCACTATCAACTGCCTCAACAATGCTAGAATAAAAAGATAACAAATTTGTTAAACATGAACGGCCATTTATAAAACCATGTTGGGACTCAATTATTAATTTATGTTTTTCAAGATGAAGACGAATTTTATTTGCTATTATAGATTCGAGTAACTTTCCCACAATAGACGTTAGGCTAATTGGTCGATAGTTAGACGCAAGTGATCTATCTCCTTTCTTAAAAACTGGTATCACATTAGCAACTTTCCAAAACTCTGGCACTCTGCCTGACTCTATTGATTTATTAAATATGGTTGACAGTGGGTCACAAAGCTCCTCTTTGCATTCTTTAAGCACCCTAGCAAACACTTCATCCGGCCCTGGGGATTTGTTTGGTTTGAGTTTTACTATTTGTTTAAGAACATCCTCCCTGGTAACTGCTAAACTCGTCAACCTGTCCTCGTCCCCACCCACATAGACTTGTTCGGCTGAAGGCATATTGTTAAGTTCCTCTTTAGTAAATACAGATACAAAATATTTATTAAAAATACTACTCATCTCTTCATCACTATCTGTTATTTGACCTGTCTCAGTTTTTAATGGACCTATCCTTTCCCTAGTCTTAGTACGATATAACTGAAAAAACCCTTTAGGATTTGTCTTTGCTTGCCCTGCTATGCGAACTTCATAGTTTATTTTTGCTTTCCTTATCTCTTTTTTAACATTTCTAACCAGTTGTACGAATTCCTGTTCTAAAGTGACCTCCCCATTTTTAATCCTTTTGTACCAAGCTCTCTTTTTACCTATAAGGTTCTTCAAATTCTTTGTTATCCACTTTGGGTCATTAGTATACGATCTATTCAATTTGTATGGTATACTACGTTCCTGTGCTTTGTTTAGAATATTCTTAAATAAGTTATATATTGAATCCACATCGAAATCCCCATTTAAGTCACCTATCGCTGGGTTCATGTCTCGCTCCAAGACCGGCCCACACCCCATACCCAAGCCATTCCAATCAATTTGACCCAAAAAATTTCTTAGGCTATTAAAATCAGCTTTTCGAAAATCTGGCACTTTAACAGAATTTTCTCCTACTGGTCTATTCCATTCTATGCTAAATCTGATTTCTTTGTGATCACTGCTCCCTAGCTCACTCCCTATTTCGATGTCATTAATTTGCGTTTCCCTGTTAGTTAACACTAAATCTAAAATATTATTTTCCCGTGTTGGTTCCTTAATGTGTTGCGTAAGAAAGCAATCGTCAATTAATTCTAGAAAATCTTCTGCTTCACTATTCCCTGTTTTGTTCAACCAGTTTATTCCGCTAAAATTAAAGTCACCCATGACATAAATACTGTTAGATCTAGATGCTCTAGATATTTCATCCCATAGATGCTTTGCTTCCATTCTGTCTAAATTTGGTGGCCTATATATTACTCCTATTATAATATTATTAGCTTTTTCGTTTAATTCAATCCAAATAGTTTCTGTGTGTGGCTCTGTTTTGATTCCCTCTTTGAGACTACATTTCAAATTGTCCCTAACATATATGGCTACTCCACCTCCTCGTCTAATATATCTATCTGTGTGAAATAGTTTAAATCCATATATTTGATATTCAGCTAATAGTTCTCTATTTTCTACATTCATCCACGTTTCGGTAAGTGCAATAATATCTATTTTTTCTGTGCATTTTCTGTGTTTTTTATTAACATTAATATGCGTGTTTCCTTAGTGTTGACTGCAGTATGAAAGCCTCCATTCCTTTCCGCGACTGTTACTTCTAGTAAGGGCAGCTCCCCATCACTCTCCGTCTCATAAGTGAAACTTAACACTGGATTTTGCTGGAATGCCTCCTTCTACGTCTGCAAATGTCCGACATCAGGTACCTGCATAAATATGACATCAACATACCTGCAGAATATGGCAGGTTTTAAGGCCATATCAACTAAGACCCTCTGTTCAATGGTACCCATGTAAACTTTCGCGAACAGGACACCTAGGGAAGAACCCATGGCGACCCTATTCTCTTGTTTATACATGTGCCCATCGGGACTCAAGAAAGGTGCCTCTTTAGAGCAAGCTTCGAGTAATTTCAGTTGTGTCTCCAGTTGTGGATAGCTGAATAGTTAGTATTTTATATAGTTGGCTGCAGTATATATGTTTGTATGTGAGTTATTGTTTTATCCACTGTATTAATTATTTACTTATTTATTACTACAGATTATGTACAATCGTGGGTGCTGTGTTGGTGGGCGTGGTGGTGACGGCGGCTTCCATGTTCACCATATGCAGTTCCTCTATGCCAGCGACACAGGCATCCCAGACGACTTTGAACTGCACTACCACCAGTGTCCCTTGTACTGTTGATCATATGAAACCTAAGGAAATTTATTTTAAAATTTCAACGATGTTCGATTTGTTATATAACAACTGTCATCACATTGACTGGCTAGATCATAGTTCACTTGTGAAGGAATCTGGGAAGCTTGCTTACTTCTCCATCAGGAGATGCAAGGAGGAACTAAACCCTTGCCCATACGACTCACATCATTCAGAAGAAATGATGCTTGTTGTAAATCGGCGGCAGAATAAAACAGTGAATATGAAAATTGAAAATGAAAAGGATAATTCTATAATAATGCTGGCAGTGACTTTCGAGGAGGATAAACAGTGCGGGTGTGTAGGCAGTAGTGTTTGGAATAAAATGCCCAAGGACAAGAAGCCCTCAAACACGTCTGTTCCCTGTGTGTACAGTGTGTACACAGTGGTGAATACCACTGACAAACAACTCAACCTCAACTGCACTACTTGCTCTGGGCAGTAGGCATTGACAGTACACAACTAACAACTTGGTTTTTCACGTTTTTATGACGTATTCGAACTGTGCTACAACTTGCTATATTCTTTCTTACAACTTGTTAAGAAGTGTTAAAACTGGTTCGAACGTTGTAGCAACGTTGTCGTTTCGTCGTGTCTTTGGCGGGATACTGTTTCTCAACCAATTGAATTATTTATTTACCAATGTATTTACTTTAAAATTATTTATTTACATTTCATTTATCTAGTTATTAAAAAGTTATATTATTTACTTACAAATGTTATTTATAAAAGTTTTACTCATTTACATATTTATTGCAGATCTACGTTAAAGTATTTCGCATTATCAACTTAATATTTCTTACTAACACCGCTCTTAACTATGGATACTCTTTATGTTGTAACAAATTTACTGAAACAATCTTTATTTAACGTTTCTTATCTAAAATCACTCTTCATTCAACTGAAAATTGTCTAGTGTATCTTTTTCGCATCATTTCTTAATTAAAATAACTTTTCTTTCACTCAAAAAACTAGTAAAATGAATCGTTCATAACGTTTCTTAACTAACATTATGATTTGTAAAGTAAGAAAATCGTCAAGGGGTAAAATTCTTCATATTTTTCTAACCTAAAGCTACTCTCTGAGACACATCAAAGGTTACTCTCCAAGCTATCAAGGATATTTTTCAAGACACTCTCCATGTTCTTTTTATGTAAGAATGGTACATTCAAAGACATCAAGGATACTCTTCGAGACATCTTTACACAACAATTGTTCATTCTGAAACATCTTCATGCATTAAAAGACACTCTTTGTGATGTATTTATGTAACAAAGATACTCTCAGATATATCATGGATGCTATCCAAGACACTCTTCATGTCCTCTTTATGTAAGAAGAATGCACTTAGAGACATCAAGGATACTCCCCGAGACATCATTGTGTAACAATTATACACTGCGAGACATCATCTTGCATTAAAAGTCACTCTCACTGACGTCTTTAAACATCAACGGATACTCTCTAAAACATCTTCGTGCAGTAAATGAAACTCGTTAAAACATCAGAAATACATTCTGAGATATTTTTATATAACCTTGGTACTCTCCAAGGCTTCTTTATGTAACAAGGCTAGCGTCTTTGTGAACTAAAGGATGGTCTCCAAAACAATTTTATATCAGCAAGGTTACTGTCCAGAACATCTTCACGCATTTACGGATACTTTCCAGGATGTAAAGTCATTACATCCAACATCTTAAGACAATGTTGACCAGACCACACACTAGAAATTGAAGGGACGACGACGTTTCGGTCCGTCCTGGACCATTCGTCCCTTCAATTTCTAGTGTGTGGTCTGGTCAACATACTTCAGCCACGTTATTGTGACTCATCTCCTGCATCTTAAGACAATCTTTTCATAAAACATCTTAATAAAGAAAGCGCTGCATTCAATAGTCAAGGGTAATTTTTTTCAAGTCATATGTAACATTTAATATATATGTTCTAAATAAATTATTCTAAGGTATATTTCTTGAACATATTTAAACGACGATTTCTGTTAAACTTACTAAAACATGTCTTTATGTAGTCACAAACAACTTTAAGTATTATATCAAACTAAACATGTACAACTTTTCATAATATTTCATGACTTTATGTACTAATAAACTTATGCCTCCTGTAAAATTAAACAAATAACTAACTTTTATGTAGTATCAGTTTTACTAAGGCATTTTCAATCAAAACATGTTAATGATAAACATGTTAATATGTCACACATCTCTATTATGTCATTCACAAAAATACTTCATCTCTCTTTCGGTCTCTCTCTGTAATATATCTATTATTTCTAATTCATATAACTTCCATTAAGCAGTAGTTTTTCTGTTATATATTATTAAGACAAACTTTTACCAAAGACATATCTTGTAATGTAACTTGTTTATACAGTAACGCTCGAACATTAGAAGGTTCGAATCTCCGTCCGGGATGATCCCAGATGCACCTTAGTCGATTGCGCCACAACATGGCCAAAAGAGTTGCAACCGGGTGTGCTACTGCCCTCAAACGGATTCTGCAGCCTCTCCGAGGCACAAACCAGGGTTTTACACAATTCCCCCCCCCCCCCCATGCACCCGGGCTCTGTCAACAGGCTGCTCTACCTCTGTTCTCCGTGTAGTAGCACTACTAGTTGTAATTCTTTTGACCATGTGGTGGCGCAATCGATTAAGGCGCATCTGGGGTCATCCTGGACGTGGGTTCAAACCCTCAACATGGGCCTTGTGGATTTGTTCATTTGACGTATCACGCTATTGTGACTTCTGTGTGTATTGAAGTAAGGGCAAAGAGGTAGAACAGCTTGTTGACAGAGCCCTGGGGCATGAGGCAATTGTGTAAAACCCCAGTTTGTGTCTCAGAGAGGCTGTGGGATCCGTGTAAGGGCAGTAGCACTACTGGTTGCAATTCTTTTGACCATGTAGTGGTGCAATCGACTAAGGCGTATCTGTGATCTTCCCAGACGGAGATTCGAACCCTCATCACGGGCCTTGTGGATTTGTTCATTTGATGTATAACGCTACTGTGATTTCTATATGTTAAAAGCATTGACTATGTCATATGTTTCTGTTATCTCTCACAAAATACTACGATAAGAATAAGAATACGATAAATAAGAAGAAAATTCTTCTTTTCTCTTTTCTCAACAAACATTCTCTCACCCATTTTATCTTAAAACTTTTCTCTGAACAACAATGCATTATTCTACCTAACCTAAGTTACCTGAGCTAACCTAACCTAATGTAACTTACCTAACCCAATTTACCTAATCTAACCAACCTAACTTAACTTACCTAAACTCACCTACCTGATGTAGCTTAATGTAACTTCCATAACCTAACCTACCTGATGAAACTAACCTAACCTAACCTACCTGATGAAACTAACCTAACCTAACCTAAAATTTCTAGTGTGTGGTCTGGTCAACTAACCTAACCTAACCTACCTGACTTAACTTACCTAAACAAACCTACGTAACCCAACTTGCATAACTTCACCTACCTGATGTAACTTAACTTCCATAACCTAACCTGTCATAACTTAACTAACCTAACCTAACTTTGTCACAGCTCCTGTGATGCAGTGGTAAAACACTCACCTGGCACTTTAGCCTGGGTTCGTTTCCTAGCCGGGAAGGATTGACTGGGCGCCAATCCTTAACTGTTGCCTCTGTTCACCCAGCACTGAATGGATACCTAGTTGTTCAACGATTCGGGAGGTCTTATTCTGGGGAAGATTAGAATTAAGGACCTGCCTGAAACGCTATGCATGATAGTAATTTTACAAGAAAGTATAAACTCTTGAATATAAATAAATAAAAATAAATACCCTACCTCACTTAACTTACCTAACCTAACCTCACCTACCTGATGTAACTTAATGTAACTTACTTAACTTACCTAACCTAACTTACCTAATGTAACATACCTAACTTAAGTTATATATTGTACATACCCGATGTAACTTACCTAACTTAACTTACATTATGTAAGTTACATAGCCTAACCTACCTAATCTAGCTTACATAATTTTGTTTAAGAACATCTAATCTCTCTGAAGCATCAACTCTTCATCTATATATTTATCAAGACAACACTCTTTCACACTTACACTTACAAACCAACGCTTACATATTACTTTCACAAATTTAAACAAATTTGCACACCTCTGACAAAACATGTACACTCTAACACAAACTTATACAAATACACACACCAGCTTACATTCAAACATGCACAAACTTATGCAAACATGTACAATTACACTTGCAATCTTATACAAACTTACACAATATTACAAAATCTACACAGATATTTAGTTCACTAACTTACACGTTTTCTTAAACACTTGCACACAAATATTAATTTCACTACGCATTCTTGTGTCCCAGACCTCATGAGGAGGGTTGGGGCTTAGGAGCTTAACCTCCAAAGAGCTCTGGTCACTGCACCAGACTGTTCCTTGTGTCCAGGTAGACAACGTCCCCCAACCACTCTTTGCCTGAACAGACAACCAACCTTGGCAGCCACACTCACTACCGCCGGTCGACCAACAATGCACTATAGAGTGCTTGTAGTTTACTCAGGAGATCACCCTGTACACCTCTTGAAATGGAGAGGGGTTCAGCCCCACATCTCTAGGGGGGTGCAACTCCCGCGCTGGTCTCATTGTCCTGTGCACACACCCTACTTGAGCCTCCGTGACTCCCCACTCTCTCCTTGTTTGGAATGATCTCCTCAATCCCCTTTTCTGAATTAATATTTCTTATCACCCTGTCTACAGCTGTGATCCTTTCTCTCTCCCTCTCTCTCTCTCTCTTTTCTGCTTTCTGGGAAGCCTCATCAGGACAAGGGCAAACACCTGTGAACTATACACATTTAATAACAAGGAACATGTACAGTACACTACATAAAAGAAATAAGAATATTAACCTGAACACTTCAAGCTACTATAACCTGGTTGCAATCCAATACCACCCCTGGCTTCACCAACTGTCTATATCAAGTGGTTGCCCAACTCCTGGCTTGCCACTTATTACTCCCCCCCTTCCCCACCAAGTGGGTTAAATCTTGCCGTAATAATATTATACAATCAGCCCAAATATATATATATATATATATATATATATATATATATATATATATATATATATATATATATATATATATATATATATATATATATATATATATATATATATATATATATATATATATATATATATATATATAACAACTCAGCCTATGGCTGTAATACTAGAAACATCCGCATAGAAATTTCTCAACACAAAAAAATGGTCAATCACCCACCTTCCACTGCGTCTTACACACCCATGACATTCAAGCACTCTCCCAACACATTATATGTAGTCACCATGAACCTCCGCTCTGCATCTAGAGGCTCACTACCCCTGTATATCTCTAAGTTCTCCCAGAACTGTCCACAAGGGTCTTCTGCAGCTCTCCCAGACTGATACACAATGAAGCTTTTCTCGAACACTAGTGATGCTCCACCACTGATTCCACAGATACGTGCAACTTCACTTCACTGTTGCTGCACACAGTTTGAGGTCCAACTCCTCACTATAGGGGTCTGCTCTTCCACAGAGTTCATTACTCCTTCTACAGCCTTGGAGTTCCATCCACTAACTCCTTCCCTGGCTTCGAAGTTTTCTCATCAACTCCTCCACACAAACCACAGAATTCGTCGGGTGCGGGGCGCGTTCAAACCCCAATCTTCGACATTGGCAATCCCCGTCACCTACAAGATCGCTATTAAACTGCTTCACCAGTCTCTCCTGGTCTTGACTCGAGCACTAAGTCGTCCCCCAGGCTTCATACACTAACCCTTGACTAGTTCCTCTTCTTGACGGAGCACGAAACTAGAGATTCTTCCCTCACTGCCAGGAGCCTAAAGACAATGCAGCCTCCTCTCACGACCTCTGTTGCTCGAGTGAGGTCAAACCCCTGCCGTGAGCCTCACACCTTATCAACAAACTCTCCACATCTCATGTCAAGTCATTTATTTACATATTTATCCTCTGCCCATGCTTTTAAACTATTCATCAATATTAGCCAAGTATTTAATATATCTTCCCATGTCTATATTTCTTTGACCTTTCAATCAAGTCAGGTTTGGTGAATAGCTCTCATAGGGGGAAGACTCGTTTTTAAAGCTACTTGAGATCATAACAACATATAAACACTTCTTTATATGCAAAACATGTACAAACATACACAAAACTACAACAAACAAAGACTTGCACACGCACACATACTCTCAGCTCATTACCTTACTCACTATATCAAACTTTTGCAGGTCCCCCTGTATATACAAATTCTCTCAAACTTACAAAAATTACATAAACTTAGACAAACATGCAAATACTCACATACAATCATAAACTAACACATATCGTATGTACTCTTAGACAAACTAGTCAAACTCTCACAAACACTTAATCACTTTAAGAAACTCTTACACAAATACTAATTTCAGAACATTATTCAAATGCACATTTAAATATTTCACCCATATTCTTCTATCCTTCCCCATTTTTATTACAATTCCCTTAAAGTTCGGCTTTTAATCTCTAATATTTTTAGTAAAGAATATTCTTTAAGCATTCTTCCCTTTGTAACAAACTAGGTTTGTTGTAGGAATTATTCAGTATGGTTTCTCATAGACTATGGGGGTTTGGAAAGGTTGGAGTCAAGCGGTAGTTGACCTGACTCGGGGAGCACGGGGTATCTCTCCTGGGATTAGCGGTTAAGATGC